TGCATCACTGCCGGGGCCCGGCCCGCCGTGGCTGCAGATCGTGCGCAGAAAAGTCAGCCAGCCAGCCAGCCAGCCCCTCCTCCTCCTCCTCCTCCTCCTCCTCCTCCTCCTCCTCCTCCTCCTCCTCCCCCTCGTCCTCCTCCTTCATCCTCCTCGTCCTCATCCTCCTCCTCGTTCTCCTGTGTCCTCTCCGTCCTCCTCCCTCCTCCTCCCTCCTCCTCCTCTTCCCCCTCCTCCTCTATCCTACTCCCTCCTCCGCCTCCTCCGCCTCCTCCTTCCTCCCTCCTCCTCCTCCTCCTCCTCTCCCCGCCTCCTCCTCCTCCTCCTCCTGAGCCTGCTCGCTGGCCTCCAGGGCCCGCTGCCGCAGGCGGTCGCCGCACTCCGCGCCCTGCGCCCTGCATGAGCCGGCAGGCACGGGCGCTCCGCCCGACCCGTTCGGCAGGCCTGGCCTGGCCTGGCCTGGCGCGTCGCGTCGCGTCCACGGCACCGCCAGAGGCCAGTCCCCGTCGCCTTCCTTCGGTCCAGTAGCTCTAAGTCGGGCGTGTCCCTCTACAGGAGGAAGTACTCGAACACCGGGAGGCAAATGCCCCGCGGACGAGGCTTCGACTGTTCTTGGACCAGTCTGGAACCTGCTTTGAGCATGCCCGCTTTTTCCTCACAAGTCCGCCTGCAGGGGGACACGCCCGACCTAACACGTGCTCTCAGGGCCCCGCCGTGCAGGCTCGCACAGCGGCACCACGCCCCCGCCACTGCTGGCGGCCGACAGGAGGCCCCGGCGGAGCGCGCCCCCCGCGGCGCCTGCGAGCCACTGCTCTGGCAGCAGCTCCGCGAGCTGCCAGAGAGGCGGGCCCTCTCGTCCTCGTTCCAAGAGTTCGGTGGCAACTCATGGGAGCCTCCCTCCTCCTCCCCCTCCTCCTCCGCCTCTTACTCCTCCTCCTCCTTCACCTCCTCCTCCTCCTCCTCCTCCTCCTCCTCCCCCCCCTCCTCCCCTCTCTCCTCCTCCTCCTCCACCTCCTCCTCCTCTCCTCCTCCTCTCCTCCTCCTCATCCTCCTCCTCCTCCTTCCCCCTCCCCTCTCTCCTCTCTCCTCTCCTCCTCTTCCTCCTCCTCCTCCTCCTCCTCCTCCTCTACTGTCCTCCTCCTCCTCAGCCCTCGTCCTCGTCCTCCTCCTCCTCCTCCTCCTCCTCCTCCTCCTCCTCCACCTCTTCCTCTTTCTTCTCCTCCTCTCCTCCCCATGGCCCCGAAGGCACCTGGGCCCACGAGGATAGGCCCCTCTCTCATTTCGGAGGCAACTCCCGGGAGCCTCCCATACCACCTCCTCGGCTCTGCGAATCGACGCTAGCCGACGCGAACTCGACGCTGGTCGACGCTAACTCGACGCTAACTCGACGCTCATCGACGCTAGCCGACGCCACATCGGCGCAAACTCACGACTCCCAGACGCCAATCGACCCCAGTCGACGCTGAAGACGGCATTGCGGGGAGATGCAAGGCTCCCGTGACCTGCCACCGAACAATCGATCCCAGGGGCGAACCGCGGCGGGAACCCCACCACGGCCGGCCGGCCGAGCGGCCCCCGCGGCGGCGCGCCGCGGCGCCCGCCTCGCTCCTCTGCTTGGACGCCCGAAGTGGGTACGGAAAAAATGGGCACCATGCCCAACAACAAAACCGTTGTCCCGAACCAGCAGCGGCCACTGCTGGGCAGGCGGCCTCCTGCCTCGAATGCACACGGGCCGCGGCGACACCGACGGCGAGCCCGGTTCAGACTGGAGAGGAACCGCTGGTGGGCATTGTGCCCATTCTTTCCGTGCCCATTTCCTTCGTGCCGATCCTCAAGGAAGTGGGCCCCCCAGAGCCCCCCAAGACGACCCCCAGACGTACAAAACCTCCTCGAGCCTCGATCCTGGAACCTCGACTCCTCTCCCAGGAGGAGCAGCGACAAAAGCACAGCTGGTGGGCGTTGTGCCCATTCTTTCCGTACCCGTTTCGTTCGTGCCGACTCCGGACGCCTCCAGGGCCTAGCATGTGAGCGTTTTTTGTTCGGCGTTTCGGCATTGGGCGGGAAGGGGGGGAGGGAGGGGGGGGCCTGGCTCCAGACCTCTGCTTAGTGCGACTGTCTGCAGGAGTGCGACGGTTCAACATGAACAGGAACCGCTGGTGGGCATTCTGCCCATTCTTGCCGTACCGCTTCCCGTTCGTGCCGACTCCGGACGCCACCCCGCGCATTTGTCGGCTTCGTGCGTGTTTTTTTTGTTTGCTCGATGGTCCAGGATGCTCCTCCAGGGCCCTCGCCGAGATAAAACGCACACGTTCGAGCGATGCCAGGATTCTTTCCCTACCCCTTTCGTTCGTGCCGACTCTCGAGGAAGTGGGCCCCCCAGAGCCCCCCAGAGGAACCCAAGAGCCCAAGACGACCCCCTGTCGGTGCAAACTCTGGAGCATGATCCTCGGTACCTCGGACTCCTCACTGGGGGTGAGGGGAGGAGGTGGAGGAGGAGGAGGAGGAGGAGAGGAGGAGGAGGAGGAGGAGGTAAGTCATCCACATCCCAGGAGAGGAGGAGGAGGAGGAGGAAGTAGGAGGAGGAGGAGGGAGGAGGAGGAGGTGGGTGGCATTGTGCCCCACAAAACAACGGGTCTTTTCGTCCGTGAGACTCGGGCCTCACAGAAACCCGAGGCGCCCGCAGAGCCGGCCCCCGGCGGCCCCAGCGGCCCACCGGCGCTCTCCTCTCGAGGTCGGCCGCAGGGGCGCACAGCGAGCGGCAGCAGGTCCGCCGCGGCCGCGCGGCTCCGATCGAGGTCCAGAGGGGCAGTGCTCGGGCGGGTGCTCGTGGGGGGTGGCCCAAAAATCTTACCCAGACAGGATCGCGTCGTTAAAAAAAATATCCGGATGGCAAAGTTTTTCCTTATGTTCGGCCCCTGGGGGCTCTTCCCGGGCCTCGGGGCCTCTAAAAAACGACTCAGGATGAAAAACCAGCCCTATGGAAAGGGTCTGGACTTCCAGGGACGCCGTCCTGAAAAAATCAGGACGTCGCATGTCTGGGTATGTTGCTCCCATCGCACTGAAGGACCACATCCCAGAAATAATTTCGAACATCCAGGAAAGTATCGAAGCAGTGTCGAGCGAGGATCGCCTCCCAGGGCCCGACACGTGACAAGCCTCCAAATCCCACCAGCCCTTTGGGCGTGAGTGGTTTAGGGAGCTCTCTCTGTTCTAAACCCCCCTTCTTCCCCTTCGGGGAGGGGTTTACCCCTCGGAGTCCGGCGGGTGGTCAGAGGGGTCTTTTTTCGACTCCTGGGAGGGCGAAAAAACAACGACCCTCACGAGGATTCTGGCCCCGACGGGGGGGCTGAGAAAAAACCCTCTCCTCTTCTGTGAAGCCAAAAACATTGATTTTACTAGGGTTTTGGCCCCATTTTGGCCTTCTGAGGGGGCAGCGCTCATCGTCCTTTATAGCAAAATCATTGATTTTACGAAGGTTTTGGGCTCATTTTGTCTTCCTCGGGGGGCAGCTCTCATTTGCGCTTCTGAGGAGGTCGCAAGAGGCCCCAAGATGGCCCCAAGAGGCCCCCAGGAGGCTCCCCAGAGGCCTCCAAGAGGCCCCCCAGAGGCGCCCAAGAGGCTCCCAAGAGGCCCCCAAGAGGCCCCAAGAGGCCCCAAGAGGCCCCCAAGAGGCCCCCAAGAGGCCCCCAAGAGGCCCCAAGAGGCCCCCAAGAGGCCCCAAGAGGATCAAGAGGCCCCCAAGAGGCCCCACGAGGAGCCCGAACGACTCAAGACCCCAGGACGAGGGGCCCGAACGACTCACACCACGAAGAGCCCGAACGACTCACACCAAAGGAGGGGCCCGAACGACTCACACCAGGACGAGGCGCCCGAACGACTCACACCACGAGGAGCCCGAACGACTCACACACGACGAGGGCCTCGAACGACTCACACCACGAGGAGCCCGAACGAGTCACACCAGGAGGAGGGGCCCGAACGACTCACACCAGGACGAGGGGCCCGAACAACTCACACCACGAGAAGCCCGAACGACTCACACCAGGACGAAGAGCCCGACTCCACCAAGCACAGCAATGCCGACGACTCACACCAGGAAGAAGGGCCCGCAGCGACTCACACCAGGACGAGAAACCCCAAACGCTCAAACACGAGGAGCGCTTTTCTCTCCCTCCTCCTCCGCCTCGTCCTTCTCCCGCTCCCACCACAAGGAGGATGTACAAGGAGGCGGGAGGAAGGAGGAACAGGAGAGATATGCGGGGCCAAGCGGACACACGCCTGAAAAACACGACTGTCGGCATGCTTCGCGAGAGTTGCTGCTGTGAGATGGGCTGGTGGGGATACGCGAAGCGTAAAGAATTCAGCAATTTCTGGGTGCTCGAAATTCTTTTTGGTGATCAAGGCCGAAGTAGGCTGGAACATCACAACCCAAATCTGGGGGGTAAGGGAAAGGGCCAGACAAGGGGCCCTCTTGGGGCACCGTTTTGGGCCCAGCTGGTGCCCCAAAGGGGCCCCACGAGGGCCCCTCTCGGAGTCTTCTTCTGCACCCTCAGCTAGGGCCACCCCCCAGTACCACCCGCCCGAGGTGCGCCGTGGCGCCCAACGTCGGCTATACGCAAGAGTGACCCCGGGTAAGAGTGACACCTTTGGTGCGCGGCATCAGGGGGGCGCGGGGGAGCCAAACCCAAGCGCGCAAGCCGCTGATAACGCAGCGCGTTCGGCGATTGGGGGGCCCATTTGGGCCCGCGCCAAAGGTCACTCCTGCGAAAGGTCACTCTTACGTCTATCGGGGGCGGCAAAGAGGGGGGCGTCCAAGAGGGGGGGGTGCATACCATGGCGGGCGGCATGTGCGCGGCCCAGGGGGGGGGGGGCGGGGACGTAATGAACTAAGAAGAGGCGCCATGAAATCTGGGGAAAACTCATGGCCCACGCCATGATGTCCACCGCCCCCTAGACATCACCCCCCTCTTTGCCGCCCCCGAGTCTGGCCGACGACCCGG